TTCCTGTCTCATTCTGGGAAGCCTCAAACTGTCCAACTTATTGTGATGTTTCTGATTCACATCTGAGCGCCTGCGGCTGCCGGCGCTCTGTGTGACATCATCTCGTCCAGTGTGACGAGGACAGGGTTAACCAACTCGCTCAGACGGTGCCTTCCTACAATATTAATACACTTATTATTACGTTGTTTAATTCCCATAAAGTACAGTAATATCTGTAATAATCTGATTACATCTGTAAATATGTTGAATGTAATAAGCATTACTGAGTCAGTATAACCTCCTAATGATATCATATATACACCTTCTACCTCAGTAATATACACACATATAGTAGTGTTAGTACTCATACTGCAGTAATCTGAATACTTCCTTACTGATATACACTCATATTGATTATAATTCTGATTCCTGCTGTTTGTTCAGTTTTACACTCAATTTATGGAAAAGTTCAAAGAAGAAGTGACACACACACACACACACACACACAGTCACTGGGAGAGTTTGACCTCTGCACAGTCGCCACAGGGAAAAACAAGAGAGGGAGGGAGAGAGAGAAGGAGAAAGCATTGTAAACAATAATCAATTACTGATTCTTTTATACTGGAGGCAAATAGTCTTAATGAATGTTTTACAAAAGACTAATTAACCGTTTACAGAGTAATGAAAGCACAGGGGCCAAAAACAACATTTATTAAACTTTCGCAAATTATTTTATTATTACTGTTAACTACATGATTCTATACATGATGACTTATCAATATGCTAATCATTAATTAATACTAATGAGCTTGGTGTATTGAGGGGGGCTTTTGAAGTAGACCTCACAGCTCACCAGGTCATGTATGAACGAGATCATTCTGAGGGACTCTTTGCAGCTGTTAATAAAGTCTTAAATGCTTTCTTTAAAGGGTTAACATCCTCTGCTACATTGTTAGCTACGGTAGCGGTGTGGCTCTAGAGATGATCGGTCTGTCGGTTGGTCGACACGTCTCTTTGGTCCAGACTGAAATGTTACAGACGTTCATGGTCCCCAGATGACCCTGACTTTTCACCCAGCGCCACCAGCAGGTAAAACGTCTCGACAACTTTCGGATGCTTTGTCATGAAATTTTTATTCAGATATAATTATGTTCCCCAGAGGATGAAATCTAATGACTTTGGTGATCCTTTGACTTTTCCTCAAGTACCACCAGCAGGTTGACGTTTTTCCTCTTGAGTAAAAAGTAGACAACTTTTGGATGGATGGTGACATTTGATTCACACATTCATGGTCCCCTTTTGGTAAATTGTAATAATTTTGGTGCAATATTTGCTTTATGGTTAAATAGACTATACCTGCAACACTAATCACATTCCTATTAGCCTCAGCTGTAGTTTGTGTTTGGTAGTAATTAGCAAATGTCAGCCTGCTAACATGCTAAACTTATATGGTGAACACGGTAAGTATTACCTTGCATTGTTATTTAGAGTCTGTTAGCATACTGACATTAACATTTAGCTTGAAGTACTCCTGTACCTAAGTAAACCTCATAGAGCCGCTTTGGCTGTAGACTCTTATCTGTCTCTTAAGTCCTTTGATTTTATGAATTACAACACTAAATCACTATATTAGCCCGTAAAGTAGTGAAACAGATCTATAACAAGTTTCCTTATTACCAGAGAAGCTGGCATAGAAACGATAGGAAACAAGTAATTCATAACAATAAGAAATGGGTGAAAAGTGTATAAATGTTAATGAGTTTTTAGTAAAATGTTCAGTACAGAAATAAGAAAGCATCTTGACACAACTTTTTTTAAACTAGTTTTTATTTAGGAAGTGAAACAAAATGCCCAGTGTTGTCTTTGTGCTTTACATTGTTTCAAACCACCACTGGAGGTCCCAAAAACAAAAAACCTCAGAGGAAGAACTCAAAACAAAGCAGGAAGCTCCAGAAAAATGAATCACCTTCATCATCATCATCATCATCGTCATCACCACTGTCACTCTATACAGATCTGTAGAAATAATTGGACTCCAAAGTCACATCAGTGATTATTTACAAGGCCTCTTGCCGCAAAATAGTCGGGTTTTCATTCGTTCCTTAAAAAAAGGTGTGGTTGAAGATGCTCTCACACAAAATATGTTGAAAATGACACATGATGTCTATTTATACCATGTGTCATTTTTTTAAACATATTTTAATGTGCTATTTAAGGACAACACAGCCTGTGTTATTTCAGCATCTTTGTTGTTGTTGTTTTTACCTTTGATTCATCGTAGTAGAAAAAGGAGAAAGAGGTTGTTATTTCTACATACAAGGCATTGTCTACCTGATTCTAAACTCTTTCATTGTGCTACTATCTTTGAACAAAAAAAAAAAAAGTTGTAAGATATAATTCGTAAGAGGAAGTGCTTTTTATATAAGAATAGGTAAACTAGCTTGTGGCTATAGTAGGCTACAGTAGTTCATAGTAGAATCTAAGTGTTTGTCGATGCACTCTGGTGCTGAAATATTGACCATATGTCTTCCCTTCTTACCCAACAATCCTTATAATTACATTGGGGATCGCCACAACAACCTCACAACAGCCAGAGATGATAGAAAGAAAAACAATTGAACTGAAATTGTGCGAGGGGGGGGGCTCTAGAGTCCTCACGTGGAATTTGTGAATTAATGTCTTACATAAAAGCCAGTGAGGAAAATGATCTTTTAACGGGATTCAAACTCAGGAGCGCTCTCACTGATTTTGACCAACACGTAGGAGGAAATTTCTTTCACTTCATCACTGATTGAAACCTCAAGCTGGGACCTGCTCAAGGACTACTAAGAGGCCAAAGAGCCCCGCATTCAGCACCACAGCTGTTGTTAAGTTGTGTTTCACTTATTCGACGATTAAAACTGGGAACATACAAAATACCAAAACTCTCAATCGTTCTTGTTCTGGGTTTTTGTGTTTTCATGTTTCAGCACCAGAGGCCTACGGTAGTACCTTCTACTTTCTACAATATTTTAGAATAATAATACGAGGCAGGCAGTGCATAAACCATGTACAAAAAGACCCGTCCCGACCCAACCCAGAGCCCTCCACCTAAAGGAGTTGTGCCATCTGTGTGAATCCCTGGAAGCCCCGACAGCTCCTAATGCTTATACAGACATAATTGTCAACAAGATAATGATGCCAAGATAGAATTATAACTGGGAGGCAATTGTTTTGGATAACATCACATACTAAATCAGCAGAGGTTGGAAAACGGACTCTCTGCTCTTGTTAATTTGATCCGTTCAAAACACTTCAAAACAATCACAGAAGTCACGGGAGAAAGCCTCAAAGCATCACAGCAGTGTCGCAGTTCCTCTAAATGCAGAGCTCTTAACCCAACCCTCCATATTTAACACTAACTTGGTTTGCTAACTCCCTGAAATTTCATTTCTCATAACTACATAGAATAGTGGTACTTGAAAAAATCAAGATGTTACAAGCAGTTATGACTCATGTCTCTTCAAAAATATCATGCATTATTGCTCTATCGGATATGAATGAAATATTGCCGAAGACAGAAATTTGCTTAATTTGCCTATTATCTAAGAGATGTTTGGCAAAATATCCCAAAGATTCATAAAATTGGCATAGATTCCATTATTAGGCTATTGTTATTTTTTGCATGCAGTAGTTTTTATAATTAAAGTGGCGGACAAAAGTAAAAAGGTATTCGGTAATTAGAAAGTGTCAAATGCTTTGGCATATTTGTAACAAAGGCAAAATATAAACAAAGTAAAGTGCAAAATCAATAAATCTACAAAAACATAAGAATAAATAAATAAATTAGGCAATAAATAGACACATAAAAAAAAGACATAAAGCTGAATACTGTGTAGCCCACTGGCAACAAAAACACTATTTTACAACACTTTTGAGAAAGGTTTGACCTTTTTGGAGAGAAATCAGGACATTTTTAATGTCTGGATCCTCGTCTGACATTGACAAGTAAAAATAAATAGCATCAGATTTAAGTTGTAGTAAAACACTGTTTGTCAAATAATACCCTGGTGGCTCAGTGGGAGCAATGGAAGTCTAGTTTGTCTCCCTTATTCCTTCTCACCTTCCACTGATTACTGTCAAGTAAAGCACAAATGCCAAAATAACTTTTTTTTTTAAACACAAAAAAAAAACAGTCCTTTTTCTGTAAGACATTGGTTAAACAAAAAAATATTATTTCCCCATTACAAAGGTGTAGTTTGCCTTGCCTGTTGTGTTATGAACACCCCATTTCCTTCACAGTTCAGTGTGTCAGTAGGCAAAGCATGTGACTAGCGTGAAGGAAAACGGAGAACAAATGTGTGCTTTTCTTTGTTTTGATGCTTTATCTCCTCCTATAAGTTCTGCCCGAGGTCAGTTTCACCAAAAGCAGGATACCAGCTGTATCCTAAGATTACGAATGTTTGTTTTTAAAAAAGGAGTAAATATGAAAGTTCATTCAATCTCTTTGCAAGAAAACTGACGAAGATGTGATTCATGCTTTAAACTCCTGTGATATTGCTGTCACAGAAATAAGACGGAGAGATGGGAGAGGATTTGTGCTTTAGTGTCGTTTCGCCATGAGCTGAACACAAAAAAAAGAGGGACGAGGATAGATACGGACATAAATAGATCTAGGTATCTTCAAAAATGATGAGCTAGATGTGCTGTGCTTTATTTATCTTCAGAGATACTCAAAACAGCCTCAGTAGGGGACATATCTTATCGAAACAGGTGACAATCTAAAACAAGCATTGAAAACTTTTCGTTCCACTTCCTGATGAGGAAAGAGGAGACAAGAGGAGGGAGGGTCTTGATAAAAATGGACACGTCCTCAATCTATTTTTGTCATTTGCCTCATGATCCTTGCAGAGAAAACACTCCTTTCTTGTAGTGCTCAGGAATACTGGTCTTCTTGTTTGCGAAAGCAGGAAACATTGGGAGTGAGGCCAGCAAAATCTGTTTTAAGTAAACAAAAAAAACCTCCAGTAAACCTGAATCCATCATTCATCCACTGAGCTCATAGGGGAGAAAGCCCCCTTGAAGCACGCCGACTCGTAGTGCTTGTTCAGGTAACTCTTGAGCGCAAACGTCTTGTCACACCGTTTACACTTGTAGTGCTTGAAGGCAGAGTGCGTCTGCATGTGAGCGCGCAGGTTTGACCTGTCGGCGAACGCTTTGCCACAGTGCGCACACCCGAACGGCTTCTCGCCCGTGTGCGAGCGCATGTGGCCCTGCAGCAGCCACGGCCGGCTGAACGCTTTGCCGCACACGTCACACTTGTGCTTGAGGTCATGGGTCAGCAGGTGCATGGCCATCGCAGGCATGGAAACGTAGACTTTCCCACATGTGGGGCACTTCTTGGCCATCTTGCTGTCTATGCTCCTGTGCGTCTGCTTGTGCCGGCTCAGGTTGGAGGACGTGGCGTAGGTTTTGCCACACTCGCTGCAGGTGTGCCTCTGGGTGGTTCCTCTTGGGGTTGCCGCGGCTTTCCTCCGCGATCGCCCGTCCATGATGAAAAACGCATCCACAGTGTACCCTTCGCTCACGGCTGCGTCCCCGTTGATGTATCCACCGGCTGATGACGACACCTCAGAGCGCGGGCTGTCCGGCTGGTCTGAATCGCCGTGGATATCGCCATGGATGCCGGAATAGGTGTCGTCAATTCGGCCATAGATAATTGACGGGTGGCTGGGGGAGGGTACTTTAGAGATGACAGATGAGACGCTTCCCACCACATCATCGTAAGGAGATGGACTCAGATAATCGCTGACGTAGCCTGAAAAGAGAGAGAGAGAGGAAGAGGTTAATCATTCGACCATGACAGGGGGATTGATTGGAAATTAGAAACTGATTGGTTTGAAAATCTTTATAGGTAAGCTGAATGAGTGCTACAAAAGTGGTACAGAAAGGGAAAATGCATTCCTTGACAGGATTTAACCTTTCTTTCCTTTGATATTTGAGGTTGATATACTCTATAATAAAAAACCAAAGCTCCTCTTTTTCACTATGAAGCCCAGAAGAAAGATATTGCTACTGTTAGGTTGCCTCTGTATTCCCAGGCCTGAACCTCTAGATATACCCAACCTTTGTGTCTTTTCATGTTTTTGATGATAAGGTGTTCCAGGCAACAAGAGAGCCGGGCAGGCAAACAGGATGTGTGAATACTGAGTGTAAATAAAACAATTTATGGCTCACTATCCTTCCAAAATATTACATTTTAGGCTACCTAAAGTTTACAACTTAATAAATCATGTGTTGAAATTGTGTTGATTCCACTACTTTTTACAGCAAATAATCAATAGGGCTTGTATCATAACAGAAGACAATAATTATTCAAACACTCTTAAGTAATGCACTCTAAGTAATGTCGGTCTAACTATAAACCAAACTGCTGCAGTGAGTCATAAGGACAAAACTGCTTTGAGCTACAAACGTACTATACTATCATCGTCACTCCGGGGGCTTCCACTGCTACCAGTACAATTAAAAAGATTTCATATAATTGCAAAAACACAGGCCACAAATCAAACCCATTCACCACAAGTTCATTCATTATTCAGAGAGCTGCTTCACATGTTGTCTCCTGATAATTTTACTGATTACAGCCTGGCGTCTCTGGTTTTTATAAATATCAGCTGGACTGCCCAGGATCACATTAACAACATGTGCATTATGTTTTAAGATGAACCTTTGTTTTTCCCCCATTGGCATCCGTACGAGACGAAAGCGGCCACAGGAGACACAAGTCCATTCTTAAGATACACCGACACACTGAGAGGTTCGTCTTAAAACACAACCATTTTTTGGAGGTGATATAAAGCTGAGTAGAAGGAGAAGGAGAGAGTTGTGGTATTTATAGTGGCAGTAAAGTGTTTTTATGTCTTTGCCAGCAAGGAGGAGACACTTTCCCCTCAGTGGGAAATCTTTATTTTCCATAAGAGGGTTCAGTGAGCACACTTTCTCCTCTACAACTGCACCTTCCTTGACAGGTCTACAGCTCCACACAGTCACACCTCTGAGCTGTCAAAATGTCAAACTGTTGTACACAGAGCATCTCTATTACAGTGGCTGGGAGTCTAGTGCTTTGCTCAAGGGCAACCTGACACTGACTGCATTTAACTGGGTATACTGGTCAACAACCTTTCAGTCTTCCTCTTCAGATAAACAGTATTTCTGAGACTCATACATTCCCAAGCTACCTGCATATTTCCGCACAGCTCAAACAAACTCTGATGAATTATTTGTTGCCGTGTTATGATGTTAGCTGCTTCGTTATTTCTATTATTGGCTTCTACGCTCAACAGGCTGAACTCCAGCAGACACAAGGAGAGACTTGGTAGCTAATACCCCACAGCCATGACTCCTGTGGATCCACGCCGATCAATTGCTCTCCATTTCAATTAGCACTCTGTGAGCATTTAGACACAGGCAGCAGAGGAGATACTATTGCTGGTAATATAATTTCATGATGCAGTTCTGAGAAAAGCTCAGGAGCTGATCGATAATATGATGAGAAAAGAGACAGAGAGAGATAGAGAGGGGGGTGAGGAAAGAGAGAAGACGCATAGTGAGATGAGGGATGGCAGGAGAGAGAAAGAAAGAAATAAAGAAAGGAGTTGTAGGAGAGTGAAAGCAGAGTTACGTCCAATATGGTGTTTGTGGTTTGGTGGTTTTGGCGTTTACAGCTCTCGTGCTGATTTAACATTTTGGATTATATTAAGACAAGCAATAGAGGAGGACAAAATAGAGAGGGGAGGCAAGGGAGGTGGTGTGAGAGAAAAAAAATCATGAATCATGAATATTCAATCATCGCACTCTGGAACAAAGTACTGTGTTTGTGTGTGTGTCTTGTTTTATAGAGCATGAGTAAAAGCTTTGAAACATGACCAAGTGTTCATTTTTAACCCGCATTAAGTTGACTAAGAACAACTCCAGTCGTGGAGATGTTGCAGAGCTTCATAATCACTCAAATTGGCAGCTTCCCAGTAGAACAACAGACTTGTGCTGATGGACAGTAAACAGCCCCACTGGTGGGGTCTCTCCAGGGAACTTTTACAGCTGACGTTGCTTATTTATCCCTTCAAGGAATTTGCCCATTGAAATGTCTTTTTGTTTTTTTCTGCTAAAGCCAGTGGTGGAAAATGTTCAGCTCCTCTACTTAAGTAAAAGCAGAAATACCACAACATAGTATAAAAATACTCCTTTACAGGTAAAATCCTGCATTCTGATTGTTTCTTAAGAAGGACAAAAGTACAAGCAAAATGTACTTAAAGTATCAAAAGTAAACACTCCTTTCAGAGTTTATTGATAATATATTGTATTATTAGATATTATTACTTAATATAATTTGTCAACGTGTGAACAATTTTAGGTATTTTATACATGACTGGGTAATTTAATTGTAAAGAAATGCATCATATTTCAAACGCTCCTCATGTTTCGCATATAAAACCTGAATCTAGCAAGTAATTCGTAACTAAAGATGTCAAATAAATGTAATGTAATGGGGCAACAAGTCCTCTATCTCTCTCACACGCAATGAAGTAACTGAAAATACTCAAGTGATGTAAAATGTACAGCCCTTAAAGGATCGGTGTGGAGGATTCATAATAAAACATTATATTCCATTTCTGTCACTAGATCCTCCTAAATGTTACACACTAGATATTAAGTACCTACTTATATTCCACCAGTGACTTAAGCTGCTGTTGGCAACTGTAAAAGAAATGATCAAGAAAAGTTTATAAAGTGCAAATAAACCACTTACATTTGCCTCCTTCTCTCCTCTAACCACTCACTCCAACTGAGTTAGTTAAGGTGCCAAATTCTTATAAATTCCAAAATCCTGCACAAATGGTGTTATCAGTCTTAACATTTACTAACTTTTCTCAGACTTTCTCACACCTATAACAGATAACTTCATATTTATTAGAAATAGTATTCACAAGAAATCTAATTAAAGATGTTTGACGTATTTAAAGGTCCATTGTGTAACATTTAGGAGGCTATTCATAGGTATGTTTACATTAGTGTATAATCACCTGAAAATAGGAGTCATTGTGTTTTTGTCACATTAGAATGAGACGTTTTTATCTACAGACGCCACAAATAGCCTTCCCTGGAGGCCGCTATGTTTCTACAGTAGCCCAGAAAGGACAAACCAAACATAGGCTGTGGATAGGGGCACGTTTCGCAGCCACCATAGTTTCTCCTTTGCCCTTGGAAGGGGAGGGTGAAGCGATCTGAAACCACTAGATGCTGCTAATTCCTTCACACTGGTCCTTTAATTGCCATTGCAAATTACACCTCGCTTCATTTGGGATTAAATGTTGGATGGAAACTCCGACATACGCTGAAGATTTTGTTGACGTTTCTCCTGAGGGTGACACTAAAATGAAATGTCTTGTTTGCAAAACTGAAATTTTGGCCTGAAGGGAAAAAACTGAAGTTTCCAAAATAGGATTAATTAATTTGAACACATGAGTGCGCTCAGTAAATTATGGCAATGTGCCCGATTTAGATATTTCTTGGACCAGATGAACCAGATGGAAAGGAATGGTTCACCAAAAACACTGGATTCATCCACATCGGAACCACTATGATCTATATCTAATTTAATTTATACATGCCGATTAGTTGCGACGACATAATGCTTCAGACCAGTATGTTAGATGGATGGAAGGACAGACTCTGTAACGACTTAATGACCTGAGTGAGACTCCTACTGACAATATTATGTGTAATGAGAAAAATAGCTTCCAATATTCAGTGTGTGTGTGTGTGTGTATTTTTTGTTTACTCTGCTGTGAAGGTACTAAGGACCAGACTGAGTTGTGTATGTGACTGACAGGAGGTAACACAAACATAAAAACAAACTTCTTCCCTGCAGAAGGTTTTTCTATGATCCCTGCCAATTAAACATGACCGTCTTTTCTGTACGTCTCAACGTCTGCGTACTGTCTCTGTTTGTTTGTCTCCCTCCAACTGTCTCCGTCTCCGTCTCGCTGTGTCAACCCTGTATTCATTTCAAAGCACTTTAGCAGCATTAGGGCTGATAGCTGTTCTAAATGCTTATTAAAGATTAAAATACTCTGCCAAACCAAAGCCATCCCTCTTTCATGTGTCTTTGAAATACGGGGAATTAGAAAGAGAAAGGAAGACGGAGAGAGAGGCAGTGAGAGAAAAGCTGCAAGCTACAATTTAATTTTTGATCCAAACCAGCAGTAACTGACACACACTTGTGTGCTTTGGACACTTGTAGGTCACTGACTGCTTCCTCTCTCTCTCTCTCTCTGTGTGTGTGTGTAATGCTGTGCACTCAGCTGTGCAAGCTGCCTGGGAATTGTGCCGAGTTGACAGAAACACAGCAGTGTGTGTACGTCCATGTGCATGTGTCCCTGTGCATGTGTGTGTGTTTGTGCAACAAGCTGCAGTTGCTTCAGTCAAACTCTTGTTATATTTATAACAAGGGATAGCAGCCTCTGTCTTTCCATGCCTGCCGCACTGCTGCTGCTGCTGCTGCATGTTTCTCTGTTTTCTTCTGACATCAAAACACCTGGGATCTCTTCGTCTCACATTTTGACCTTGGTACAATGTGAAAACCACCAGGCTTGCACTAACAGCCTTCTTCTGCTATGACAGACACAATTAGTCCTCTAGTTCTTTAAAGCTGCATTAATGACATGTTCACCACTAGGGGGCAGAAACAAGCTGACAGGCACGCAATCCTGGGGAATCACTGCCTTATAAAGGTCATATGGACCGTGTGTTACCTAAGAAACGCCTATTTACACATTTAGTAGACACATGGGAAGATATTCATCCAACTGGAGTCATGTTTTTTAGCTACCAAAGTCCAATATTCGCTCTCCTTTTAGCTCTGTTTTGGTCTCTGTTAACTCCTGGAAAAATGTCTGTTCACCAGATAACTTTGTCTTATTATTGAGAGTTATCTAGCTGAAAAAACAGGGTTAATGGGAGCGGTGATACTGACCAATTACAGTAGAAGTGCCATAAAACCAAAGCTTCATAAAGCTGCACTGGTGGGCAGCCGTTCTCTGTGGACTTGTGACTGCAAGCAACCACTTAAACATCGCAAATAATCACTTGATCTCAAGGTTAAATAGAAATGGAGCTTCAACAGAAACACAGTCCTAACCTTTAAGACCAATAAGCTCCTGTTGTTTTCAAGCAACTCCTAACACCACTAGGAAACTTTTGAGAGTAAACATACGACTGTCGGTTGCTGTTCAGAAGTATTTTATCAAAACATGAAAAATTCCAGCTGAACATCTGACCCAATATCGCCCATTCTCACTGACTCTCATTGTATTCTGCCTCCAGGATTATACAGTGCGTGGGAACCATTTAGCATCAATGTAGCGGTGCAATATTGTTGAAATCTTGGAGAGAGACTCACAGCTGCTGGAAACAACCTGATTTGAATAATTTACCGGGCAACAGAACAACAGAGAATCCCACTGCATGTGTGCTGGTGACATAAGCATTTTTTGCATGGTTTTCTGGAAAAGATCTCAGCTCTCTGGCTCCCTGTGGCTTATCAGCTGTCTTTTTCTGAAGAAACAAACGTTAACTTGTTAATGTCAGCAGCTATTTGGTTGCTGTACTGCATTATCTGAGCAACAGGGCAGTATACACAAGATATACGAGCTAAAAAGATGGAAAAACCAGGAGGAAATTGGATTTTAGGATGGTAAGAGTGTTGGAAAGCCAAAATGTAAATGCATAATAAAAAACACCCAGGGGTTTGTCTCATTTTCATTGATTGGGTTTGTTAAACCACTGAATCATCAAGAATCCCACCCTGAGGAGGCACCTTTGAGAAAGACCCCCTGCTCTGCCCTGACCTCTGACCTGGCTGTGGGAAAAGGGTCACACTTTTATTACAACACATTACTTTAAATAATCTCTTTTCACAGCACCGAGCATGCAAGACTCTCAGTAGGTTGTGTCTCACGTCCTGCCATCTCTCTGCTCTGTGTGTTGTCTGCAGTAATGCTGTTTCAAGAGGTCAACAAAAAGAAAGATTTTCCCTGCCTGTGATTGCTGTATTTTTGGGTTGTGACCGGAGTTTGACCCTGTAATTCCTTTTTCCTCCTCCTTCTGAAACAGTCATGACTAATGCTTTGAATCAGGGGATAAAGAAATACCCTGTGTGTGTGTGTGTGTGACTAACCTTTGTCATGATGATGGAATCGCAGACTGAGCTCTTCTCTTCTGCTGTGACCGTATGAGCTCTCCAACTCTGCGGCCGAAAAATCGTCCAGTTTCACTTTCTTTACCAAGAAAGAGCGAGGCATGATGGGACAGTGGTTGCTCCTGTACACTCAAACAACAATAACAACACACACACACACTCTCTGTCTTCCAGCCCAGGTCAAAGTGGATCCAAAAAGACCTATAGGTGTAAACTCTTAACCGCCTGGTTTTAGCTATATTTTAACTCCCTGGTTTCAGCTCCCTCCTATTAAACAGCCTCGAAAGTGGAGAGGAGACATGGCTTTTAAAGATCAGACAAACCAATCGCTCCTCACTTGTTCTTTTCTGTTTTAATATTTATTTGTTGCTCAGTGAGTTTTTAGGTCCTGGGCTAAAAAAAAAAAAAAAAAA